GGGGGGGAAGAAAGGCACTTAAGAGCGCTACGTGGCCTCACTGCCGGAAACAGGGAGACCTGAGAAGGATCCTTTGAGCTGAAACCAGGGAGGAGGTAAAGGCTGCAGGCCCAGGAGAGTCTGGGGCCATCGCATACGCAAAAGCCCCAAACGGTCTCCATGGAGCCCCAGTCAACGTTCTAGCACCAGGATGGGTGACCCGTGGGGTCTAAAAGGTGGCAGAAGAGGGAGTGGGGACCACAGGGGACCAAGACTCCAAGATCGGAGAGTTTTGCTGCTGGTCGCTGCCTTGTCTGCCCCCTCGGGACCGGTGACAGGGAGGTCGCCTTAAATTGTCACCTAGGCTCCTTCCTGCTCTATGGCTCAAGCAGACAAGTCTTCCAAAGGTATGTAACGCAGGGAATCAGAGAGTCTGCAGGAGGCGCCTTGGCTCTTGGTGGTTAGCATTTCAACGTGCCCTGCCTGGAGGAGGCCGGACCGGCACCTGAGGAAACGGGGTTACCAGCAAGCGCCCTGGTCAGAGACCTCGTGAGACCCTGGTTGTGCCACTCCCCAGCCGGGGGACCTCGGGCCAGACGCTCCACCTCTCTGAGCCTCAACGCCCTTCTCTGTGAGATGGGCAGGTAACAGTACCTACCCTGTGGAGAGAAGGATAAGGTCCCGTTCGCGAGGCGCGTGGCCCGGGCTCAGGCGCACAGCAGGCGGGCGGTGGATGTCAGCACCGGCATGTTCGCTACGGGTGCTGTGACTGGGTCCTCCCTCCTACTTACCTCCAGGGACGCCATGCAAACGACCTTGTTAGCGTGGTAGAAGAAAGTGGGCAGGACGTCGAATATGGTCGTCTCTGACAGTATTAATTTCTACAGGATGGGAAGGGGGAAGAAAAGGCAAATGTTACCAAGTTTTCACCGAGATGAGTGGAGGGGTGGGAGCAGGGAGGGGAAGCCGGCGGTGGTTTCTGTCCGTGCTCCAGGCCCGTGGATCTGAAAGGGGCAGCCGTTCTGGGAGGATTACACCTGGGGCTCCCCGTTCCAGACGCGGAGGGGGTACCTGGAGGCCCGCAAATGATCCAAAGTTGGGGGCTCGGGGAACCCAAAAGATGAAGCCGTAACTCAGCCGTGTGAGTGTTCCTGGTTTCCTAGTAAGCTCCGTCACATCTGAGGGTCTAAAACTGCACCCCGGGGGGACGCCTGGATGGCTCCGTCAGTTAAGAATCTCCCTCTTGATTTTGGCTCCGGTCATGATCTCGGGGCTCGTGAGTTCGAGCCCCGCGTCGGGCTCTGCGCTGATAGCATGGACCCTGCTTGGGATTCTCTCTCCCTCTCTCTCTGCCCCTCCCCACCTCCCCCTCTCTCTCAAAAGTAAATAAACATTTATGAATAAATAAATAAATAAATAAATAAATAAATAAATAAATAAAATTCGATAAAATCAAATAAAATACAATTGCACCTCGGGGGGGGGGGGGGGAGCCTTGCTGCCTGATACTCTCTGTCCATCCTGCAGAACTGAACCTCTCTCGGGCTCCCCGAGGTCCCGTCGGGCAGCCCTGGCCACATTGGACGGAACCACTGGTACCTGCAACCGTGCTCTGAAGGCAGGTGCCCGCACACGGAGGGCACGGGGAGCCCACCTCCCCGAGGCCTGACTTGGGCCACAGTGTGAGCTGTGTGGCAGGTGGATGGGAGGGAGCGGCCTCACCTTGAGGTTTTCCGGGCAGAACTGGTGGCCATACATGTCGATGGCGGACAGGAAAATGGACTCCACCTGGTTGTGCCTCAGCTCGTAGGACGGGAGGTGGGAGGCGATCAGGATCTGCAGGGGGAGGGGACAGAGGGCTGGGGTAAGCCAAGGGCCAGGCCCTGGGATCAGGACGTGGGATGGCGGCAGAGGGGCCGTGCGGGGTGAGGGATGTGCGTGGCGGGACGGACGCTCCCCAGGACCCTACCTGTCTCGCTCTGAGGGCCACTTTGCAATGCTCGCTTTTGCTCAGCTGAGTGAGCTCGTTGAGGATGGAGGTCAGCTCTTCCGACAGGGAAGGGTCTGGGCCACAGAGCTCATCCTTTGAGGGACACAAAAACAGAAATCCAAACGGCTTTTCTCCACCGGAAGGAAACACGCCCAGCCCTCACCCACAGCTGGGGCGTGCGGCCGTCCCAACAACCCAGACAGCTGCTCAGCTCTCTGCACATCCCCGGCAGAGCCTGATAATCATACCCTTGACCACTGTCCGCCATGTGCCCCCCATTCACCCCTGACATGCCCTCCACACCTGCTAACATGAAAAATACAACCAAGTCTCTACCTACAGCACCATTAATAGGCGGCCATTATCAGGCATTTAATGTGTCCCAGGCGAGCAACTAGACCCTTTACGTTCATTTCCCCAGATTCTCCCAACCCTCTGAGGAGTTACATTACGATGCCCATTTTACAGATGGGGAAAGTGAGGCTCAGGGCCAATCTGAAGCCAGGTCTCTTCTGTCCCCGAGGCTTCACTTTCCTCTCTACATTGCTGCCTGACTTAAGGGGTTCACAGGTGCAGACAAGAGGGACGAGGGGAAATGGAGCCCGGTACAAACAAAAAGTAAGGTTCACATGGGATGCTCTAGCGACGGTGTGGTAAGCCGCCCTCTGCGAGTCCCCACGGGGAGCATTCAGGGTGTGGGGGGGGTCAAGGGCAGCTTCCAGCAGGAAGGAGGATCTGAGTTGCAGAAGAAGAAGAGGGGTGATCATTCCACGTGCATCCCTCCTCCTGCTTCTGAATGAGGGACCTGCTTGCTAGAGACCAGGGCTGCATGCACCTGCTCTGGACATCTCCTCCTTATGCCCGGAACACAAGAAGGGCTTAGGAATGGCTCAGAACGGATGTTCCCTAAACACCCTCAGAAGGCAAATCACTGACTGCTGGGACTCTCAACGCCCCAGCAACTCGCCCCCACCCCTGCTGCAGCCCAGGCTGCTTTCCAAGAAATCACCAGATGGTGGGGCCATGGGTCCTTTCTTCTACTCCTGCCTCTGCATCTCCCTAATTAGAATGAGCCTGCTCTGTTTCTACGATCAGAACGATCAGCACGTTTCTAACGCATTAACATTTCACACTTGGACACAAACACACGTGCTGAAGAAACTGCACAGGAGATTATTCTTAACCTTCTCTCCCTCCCCGTAAGTGATCTGTTTTAGCAACCAAGTCCCCGTGGTTGGTTGAGCGTCAGACTTTGGCTCAGGTCATGATCTCACGGTTCGTGAGATCGAGCCCCGTGTTGGGCTCCCTGCTGTCAGTGCGGAGTCTGCTTCGGATCCTGTTTCCCTCTTTCTGCTCCTCCCCT